TCAATAACAAGCAATAATCTTAATATAAACCAAAATATAAAGTTAATTAAAATAATAACGAATATAAAATGAAAATCAGGAAACTGTCAGATGGCCTCTTTTTGGAGCAGTGCACTAACATTGCTAAGAGCTATCCGACCATCAAATTTGAATCCATGATCATCGACAACACGTGCATGCAGGTCAGATTTTTAAAGATATTTCATTCCATATTTTATTTGAATTTAAATTTTTAGGTTAGGCTTTTGTAGTTGTATAACTTTTTTGATCATTCAACAAAAGCTTACAGCCGCATTATCATTCATTACCTTCATATTTATTAGTGAAATGCGACGGTAACTGTTTGGCAACTTATATGGCCACATCATTATAACATCACAATTATTGATAGTTGGTGTCAAGGCCACAGCAGTTTGATGTCATGGTGATGCCGAATTTGTACGGTAATATAGTGGACAATCTGGCAGCTGGTTTGGTCGGGGGGGCTGGGGTGGTCCCTGGCGAAAGCCACAGTACCGACATTGCAGTCTTTGAGCCAGTTAGTGTTTCGTTGTCTGGGCCATTTGAGAGGGTGTTGTTCGAAGAATGTTTGGAAATAGAAAAAATGTGACAAAACTGATTTTCAACTAACTAAAATTTGACCTTTACACCCGACTCAAATGACGTCACCTTAATTAGGGGGCTCGCCACTCGTTTGCTGAGAGCGCCGGGAAGAACCAGGCCAACCCGACGGCCATCTTGATGTGCGCTGCCAACATGCTGGAACATCTCGGGCTGGATCAGTATGCCAGAATCATCAAAACCGCTCTCTGCAAGGTCGTCGCCTCTGGCAAGGTCTGGATGATGTAGCCGGGAAATCTTTTCATTTTTGTCGTATTCACTTATTTAGTTGCGTACAATCGTTATGCGTCAATAACAGTTGTCTTCAGCGTCAATCATAATTGATTGATTGGTTTATTCATTCATTCATGTATTCATTCATTTATTCATTCATTCATTCATTCATGTATTCATTTATTCATGTATTCATTCATTCATTCATTCCCCAGCACCGAACCAATGACGTTGGGGGGTACACCACGAAGACGGATTTCACCAAGGCAGTCATCAAAAATCTCGCATTTTAAAACTGAACTCTCTGAAGTCACGATGAACTAACTGGAAGTGGAACAAATCACCGAAAAAAATATTTTTTTTTTAAATTTAGGTAAATCTTAAAAATGTCGACTGATATGATTGTTTCATTGATTGTATATACATTTGATAGTGGATGATAAATTCTTGTTGATTATTAGTTATTGAAATTTTAAATTTTTTTTTCCCTTGATAATGTATAGAAGTTTACAAATCCTTGCTAGGTTGATTCTATTTCAAACATAATTTGTACTTAAAAGGTTTAAAAATTTGTTTCATGAATCTCTCAGCTTCGTCAATTTTAAAGAAAAACCCTCGTATTTTTATGTTAATTAATTAATTAATTAATTGGTTAATAATTACTTTCAATTACTTTTTAAAACTTTTAAATTGCTATTTTTAAAACTTTTAAATTGCTATATTGCTAGGCAAAACATTTGGTTTTAGGTGTTTAAATAGATGTTATTTTTGATGTGATTGGTTTTTGACGTGTGTCCGCTTACACTAACTGCAGTTATTTGTTATTCTACTCATGATATGGAACAAAAAGTTAATAATTTCACCAAAAAGTCGAAACTCTAGCTAGGGTATCAGTTTTTTCTCATTTCATTTTTATTACTTCGTTTAATGTTGACTCAGTTTTTGCAGTTTTCATCACGGAATTGGAATTTTTCGATGTCAATCTTTTTAATAAAATTTAGTCAGTGTAAGTGTTCGCCAGGTTAATTAATCTATAAATTTCAATTAATCTTATGGTATTTATATAGTGTAACTTTTAAAATTCAACTCGGCTCTCATCTGGACTTCCAAGATAAAAATCTGAAGGAAGACTTAAATAGCATGGATTGTATTGTAATGGGTTGTATTCTTCCAGCTATAAACTCTTCTTGGAATGGAATCCATGGCCGACAAAACTTGATTGTGACTACTACAGTTCAATACTAAATTATAGGGCCCATATATCTTAATGCTAATATAGGTATATGTAAATAACATATAAAAATCTGAACTAATTAATAATATTTTGGTGTAAGATTACCATGATGTATTCCAAGAGTAAGGACGTAGTTAAGTCTCCGAATTTTAAAAGCTAAAAAAACATCTGCCGTCTATGGTTTACAAGTTGAAAATTTTTGGGCGGAATTAAGTTAAATTGTGCGTCGTTTTTCAAAATTTTAAACTTAAAATTACCAATTTATTCAGTAGTAAAATTTTATTTTAATAATTATGAACAATTTCTCACTTGGGTTCTCGTAAGTTTTTTGTTGATTTTCAATATTTGCGACATTTAATTTTTTTTATTTTTTCCAGGTCTGGAGGTTGGTTTTAATTTGCTTTGCCTGTTCAGTTGACATTTCTGGATCCTGATGGGAATGATTGAGTAGAATGCCTATTGATGCGTTATTTAATATTTTTTCCATTTTTTAATTATTTTCTCTTAATAATTCAAAACTTTGAAGCAACTACAATCTTTCTTAACTTAAGCTACCACGACAATGCAACAGCCTCTTGGTCTTGGTTTTAGCGGTTTTGGTGGGGGCGGAAGTTTGTTAGGAGGGTCAGCCGCTCCGGCCAGCTCTGTCCCAACAGGACTTGGTGGGTTTAGCGGATTCGGACAGGCTTCTAATGGTTATTTAATTTGTTTCATGTCAATCTTCACTTTAGACAATTTTAAATCATTTTTTAAAATTTTTAATACAATATAATTTATAATATAATTATAATACAACTGATGATTATCTAATTTCTAAATCAAAGTGTTATAAATTTGTAATTTAAAAATGGATAAATTGGCTGACATGAGCTTCAAAGTTTAAACCTAATAAAATTAGCAGCCAGCTCTAATGGGTTTTCATTAGGAGGGGGCGGAACATCTCAGCCACAACAGTCCACTGCTTTCTTTGGTTTACCAGCTGCTACTACATCTACCACAGGTGCTCTTCCTGGTCAGTTATATGCCGGTCATCATCACATCATTTTTTCTTTTCATTTTCATTCACATTATCATATCACATAATCTTTTTAGTTGTCATCTTATCACATGTCTTCATTGCTCTATTTTTCTCATACGTAGTTCTAAGTGAGTTTGTTGTATATTTATACAATTACACTTTCTTCTTGTTTAACCACTAGACCCAGTATTGGGAGGTGGCCTAGCACTAACCATGACTACTACATCTGCTCTGACCTTTGGTTTCTGTTTATTTTTTATCTTTTAATTTCATTAATTATTTATAACTTTTATTGGATATTCAAATAGTAATGTGAATTATTATTAATCATAAATGATTTTATGGTACTTTCTATCAATAAAATGACTGATAATTTCTATCAAATGTTTAATCAATCTAAATATTTTTCTACCAGGCTTCAACAGCTTATCAGCACAGTCAGTTGCAGCAGCAACAACAACAACTAACATCTTCTCGAACTCATCCACACAACAATTTCAAGGGCTTGGTGGGACGGATTTCAAGCCATTGTCCAGTGGAGCGAGTGCAGTCACTACGGACAATTCTAAAATTAGGTTCCGATCATCTTTTGCTGAATGAAAATTTTTTTTGAAAAGTTTTGTGTTCATGTATAATTAGAAGAGCTAGATACGAACTTATTTTCAAAATTTACAAAAATAAATTGCTATTTTTTGTAAGTTTTAATGTTTAATTATTTATTTTGTCTTTTTAATAGTTACTAAGCTGTCAGAAAGTTTTTTTTAAAAACTTAAATACAATTTTGTTGATGATAATTGATTATGTTAATGTGTATTTATATGTTAAACAGCAGTGGAACTGTCAAGAGTGTGAAAGACCATATCATTCTACCCACATTCATATCTCTTGTTGAAGATTTCAAGTTAGCTAATGTCATGGTTGTTGTTGTTGGTGGTGATGTGGCTGTTGTTGTTGTTGATGTAACTTTGTTGTTGATGTTTCATTGTTGTTACTACATTTTCCGACTTGCTGTTAATGTTGTTATTGTTACTACTACTGCTGCTGAAGATGATGATGATGTTGTTGTTTAGTTGATGATGTCATTTAGTTGATGTAATCATTCATCCCCCAGTAAGAACGTTCGATCTCAAAAGAGTATTCGCGAGTCGATATCCCGTTCGTCACAAAAGTCGTTGCTGAAGATCGAAGAAGACGTCAGAGACCTGAGGCAGCAGATGAATTTCGTGGCTGCATCCTTGCAGAAAATTTCAACGTGCGTCGATTCGCTGAAGAAAGAATCTACCCAAGTTTGTTGTTATTTTTGTTGTTTGTTATTATTATTATTATTATTATTATGGTTATTATTATTTTGGTTATTTTAATTTATTTTAAAATGGAAGGAGCTGAGAAATGCAGAGATAGCCCAGAGGACGAACGACTTGTCCCAGCACATGCTTCAGTCTGATTACAAGTCGCCTTATGAGTAATGAGGCTTTATTACTTTATGCCTTAATAGTTGTTGTAATGAGTATTTATTGCTGTTGTTGCAGTTGTTGTTGTTATTTGATATTTTCATCATCATGGTTGCTAGCTTCTTCCTCTGTTGCCTTTGGTCATCATTCTCTTCCTCATACTTTTGACTACACTACCTTTGCCATCTTCATTTGCATATTTCCTGTACTAGTCATCATCTTCGTCCTCATCATCACCGTCTAATCACTCTAATCATCCTAATCCTTTTCATTATCATCTTGCCACCATCATCATCATAATCATCTTCATACACAGAAAGAGACACACACACAGAAAGACACACACACACGCGCGCAGATACTTCCAGAACTTGTTGGTGAAGTTCGAGCAAGAGATGGACTTGTGCAGGACTCAGTTCAGTGAGGTTGAGACCTACCTGGAATCTCTCAACTCCAATAACTTAGCCACTCCCGCCGGTAGTGATGATAATGATGATGATAATTATGATGAGGTGGTTTTTATTAATGACGACTTTGCTGATTATATTTTTTTATGTTAACTACGATGATGATGATGATGATAATTATGATGATGATGATGGTTATGACGATGATAACGATGTTGTTGAGGATGATGACAATGATGATGATGATAGCATTAGTGATGATGATGATGATGGTATTGTCATTTTTAAGAACTCTCATGCATTTTCGACAAGTTGAACGAGGGCTTCCTTTTCCTGGCCGCCAAACTACAAGTAGTCCATGAACTCGTCAAGGTCACATAAATTATTATAATTTGGCTCTTCGACCTTCTAACCGCATCATAAATTATCATAATTTATACAGGCCAAGAAAGAATTATTCCAAAGTTACAAAAGAAACGACATATACTCAGACAGAGTTGATTTCTTTAAGGCGCCTAGTAGCAAAATTATAAATAAAAATAACGCCACTACAGATGATATAAACAACATCAATAGTACTTTAAATAATGCCCTAAGTAGTATTATTAAAAGTAGTATTAGTAGTAATGTTAGTAGTAGCAGTGGTGTCAATGCAGTCGTCAGCAGTGGTAGTGGTAGCGTGAGTGGTAGCAGTAGGGCGGCCAGTCTTAATCCATTTCCCTATATAAACAATATGGCCTCGACTGCTATGACGTCAGCAGTCGGTTGTAAGTAGTTGTCGTTTGTGTGTGTCCTTTCACGATGTCTTTGTTGTTGGTGTCAATGTTTTTTTTTGTGTTGCTAGCTACGTTTGCTAATGTTCTGTATTTAATATTTGCTGTTTTGGTAGTATGATTGTTTCTAGTTTTATATTTTCCCGGTTATGACCCTGCTTTTCGTTACAAATTTCCCTTACAATGCAACTGAAAACAGCGCAGCAGCAACAACAACAACCTGGTTCCATAGGATTGTTTGGTCAACAACAGCAGCAACAACAACAGCAGCTGCAGCAGCAGAACAAAATGTTGAAGCACAATCTCTTCAACAGCAACCGCAACCAGAACAACAATGCAGATGACAGTAGTAGCTTTGTTCTCGGCTCCAATCTGAACAACGACGCCAATCTGAAAATTGGTTGCAAAAGAGGAAAGCCATTGAGTTGATCTTCTTTTTGGTTTCATGTTCGTGTAAATTTAAAAAAAAAATTATTTTATTTTCTAATTTGTTGCATGATTTGATGCTGGCGTTGGTGGTGATCACGATGACGTTTCTCTAATTGAAATTTGAGCAATGTCTGTTGTCAGGTCAACCTTCTTGTAACCTCTATCTTCCCTACTTTGCTTCATTTATTTTTAATTAAAATGGGATTTTTATATAAAATTTTTATAAATTTTATTCAAAATTTTTTTCTTTCAGATTAGGACTCTGAAGAAATGTTTTCTACGCGACGCCATGATTGACGCTGTTAATTTTTTTAACTTACGTGACGTTTTTTATGAAAATTTACAACAGCAATTCACATGTAAATGTCCAAATATGGTACATCATCATCGAAATAATAGTTTTTAACACACTTTTAAATAAACGCAGTTTAAAAAATCATTTTCATACTCTACGCTCTTCTTTACTGTTATATTTTTTCCTCAAATCAACATCCAGCCAGCTAAAAATTATTTGTGAGATATTTTTTAACGTTCTTGAAAAAATGGAACAAAATCCGCCGGGTAACAGAGTTGTGTTCTCTTTTCTTTTGTTTTGTTCATTCGTAGAGCATAGAGTCATAATTAGCAAAGAAATCAGAACTATCAATTTATACGTGAGGCCTATGCGCGCCTATGAACCTGTAAAAGAACGTACGTACATGAATGAATGAATGCGTGCGCATATGTGAGCGTTCGGAGTGCGTAAACCAGAGTGACATCTGCAGTTGAGAACTGGCCGCAATTACAGAATGAATGGGATTGAGGTCGTGGGTATCATTGCTTCGAAAGCACTCCATGTGCAACCGCCCGAAGTGTACGACCTCCTCCACCCTGCTGCTGCCTCTATCTCGTTATATCACTGGCTGGCTGCTCTTTTCCTTTTTATAGCGTGTTTTTTTGCGTCTGTATAACAAAAAAGCCAAATCACGTATTTATGTAAAATCTGTCAAATAGTTGGTTATTCACAGTTGAATGGAGAAGTTAGTGCAGAAATGGAGATGTGTTAGCGACGGAGATGTGCTGGAGGCGTCGGTAGAGTGCGACGAATCATGCATTACTATCCGATTCGTTTTGTTTATTAAAAGTTCAATGGCATGTTGGCGAACTTGATGGAGACGAATTATCTCGATGATTTGTCAAATACGAATAATAAAATTAAATAATAAAATAATAAATCTTTTTAAAAGAGTTTTAATTTAATTTTGCCAACGATGCATCAATCAGTTCTATTGTGTTATCGCCAGACAAGCGGGTGCGAATTTTCGCTTTTTTCGTCACCGCAGCAACGCCCTGAAAAAAAATTCCGTACAGAAAAACACGACTCGCACAGGCATCTGAAAAATCGCATGAAAAAAACTACAAATAAGACGAGCAGACGGAAACGAATTGCCGACAGTTTTCGGTTTCTCCATTTCGTCGCGTCTTCGCAATGAGATCGCGACCCCGGCCATCTGGTGATTAAATTCGAAGAAATAAATATTTGTTGTCTGCCTAGGGAGTAGGTCATCCTCGAACAATTTAATCCCATCATAGGTCCTTTCAGCGACACGGTTCGCTGTCCAGTTGGCGATTAAAAACGCTCACAATTACCAGCCAACCGAATAGCTGAATGTGAATGAGTGTGTGTTTGCGCGTGTGTGTGTGCGTGTGTGTGTGCGTGTGTGTGTGTCTGTGATCGAAAAATTTATCATATTAGTGTTTGTTCTTAGACAAACAGCCGTTGTAATACTCTTTAATGTCACGACAATAGGTTTACGATTGTCTAAATAACATCAAATACATAAGTGTGATGTTGTCGTTGATGTTATCGTTGTTGTTGTTGTTGTCATTGTTGTTGTTATTGTTGTTGTTATTTTTGCATGGCTACCCTTAAAATTATTATCAATCTAGTAAATGCTAGGCCTACAGTCCACATATAATTTTACGCACCTACAAGTATATTTTTATTAGTAGTATTATTCTTATTTAATTATTATTATTTATCATTATTATTATTATCATTTATTATTATATTTTTTTATCTATAATATAGGTACACCTTTATGTATCTTGGTCGTTTTTGTTTTTGTATTTATTATTTTTGTTATTTGGTCAGCCATTGTTTATCGTTTGAAAGTTTCATGTTGATGTTATTATTACCGCTAATAACAGTAATAATAATAATAATAATAATAATAACAACAATAATCTTAATAATGTTTGTAAACATAAGAAAAAAAATACATAGTTGTTATTAGCCTTTGTTATTCCAAAGTTTTATAAAATGCAACAAATATTTTTAAAAAATTTGAAGATTTTATTTATTCATTCATTCATCCATCCATTAATGCATTCATTACTCATCCAATCATTCATCATCCATCCATTCATCCATTGATACGTACATTTAGTTAGTTATTTATTTATTCAACAACATCCAACTACGTGCCATAAAGTTTAATATTTATGAGCAGCAGATGTGGAACAATGAACACAAATGCTTTATTTTCCCTTCCCTAAGAAAATAAACTTACACGAACTCGTGAATTTAAAATTCGCGCCAAAAAAATAAAATGTCGGATAAACAGAAACAACAACGAAAAAATGAAACCGGAAAACCTTTTTTTGAAAAAAAAGATACAGAATAGAAGAGACTGAAACATGAAACAACAAAATAAAACATGAAATTATTTTGAAGAAGTACGAAAGAAAAAAAATGAAAAAAAAATAAAAAAGCACTTTTACATTTTACAAGTAACTCCCTCATTGCCTGTTATTTGCCTCGCTCACATATTTATCGCTCATATCTCTAGATAAACATTGCATCGCCTCTTTAATACGCATAACTAGAGCGTATATACCACATACGCGTGTGTACAACACCGCAAATGATACACGTTCACTGGATGTGTTGTGTATGTGTGATAGCGTATAATACGCATATATACAACACTAAATACGTGCATGTATGCACAATGCGTATAATTAGATAGGCAATCATTCAAACATAAATACACAAACATGAATATAAATGATCTCATATACAAACAAATCTACAAAGGTACCGCGGACAAAATATTGGATGCTTCATATATGTACATAACACAAGTGTCTGTAATGCGTGAATATATTTTCACATGAGAGTATGCATGCAATGTTTGAGCGAGCACACAGTCACACACGCACTCACACACACACGCAGTCACACACACACACGCAGTCCACACACAAACACAAATGCACCAACACACGGCTGTGCAGTAGAAACATATAAGCACTGGAATAAACGAGATGAGAGGATTAAAATTAAAAAGCTTTAAAACCAACCGCAACGCAGGACAACAAACGCGGTGAAACAAACATTAAAACAAACACTATTAAACACACACACACATACACATACTCACACTCACACGCACGCATACAGATACAGAGACATAAATACGTACACTTGAATACACAAACTTATACAAACACACAGATCACAAAAGCCGACAAAACTCTCCCAGTGAATAGAGTATCATATAAGTTTCATTTCATTATTCGCGCACTAATACATCTTACATCAAACACACCGATTCACGCACACAAACGCACACACTCACACATGCACACACACGCGCCCGTACGCACGCACATACGCGCGCGCACAAACAGCCGGCTAGCAATAAAACAAAACAACTGAATAGACCCAGGTAATTTTTCAAACCTCCAATAAAACCAACTGCTTATCTGACCTTAACGTGACCTCCGAGTGACCTTCACGTGACCTTGCGATGAGTCACATGACCTGGCGGCGCGATTTACTACTTACTGAGCATATTTCATTGAGAAATGGTTGCAGAGGGGTTTGAAAGTATTTTAGCGGTGGCATGCAAGTATTAAGTACTTAACAGTACTTTACATTACATACTTCTTCCTAATACATACACGTGCGTTTTAATGAATGAATGAAATATTCAAATCATAGTCTCACTGATATGACATCAATCGATCAATCGTTCGTTCGTTCGTTCGTTCGTTCGTTCGTTCATTCGTCAGGCTGGTGATGGTGGTCGGTGAGGTCTCTTCCATGCATTTGCGATGTTGATCTGTGTGCTGTTGGACTGCTCATTGGTTCAACCATGGCGCCGAAATGCACTGGTAAAAAATGTTTGTTATAATGAAAGATGAAAAGTTTCAGCACATGCATGGATTAGTTGGTCTGTGTGTGGCTGGTTGCATTCGATGGCACATGTATCGTACAGGTATTTATTTTGTGTGTGTGTAAGTTTTTTGAAGTATTTATACGTACGTTTGTGTCTGTGTGTGTTTGGATGTGTGTGCATGTGTATGTGTGTGTGTGTGTGTATGTGTGTGTGTGTGTGTTTGAACGCGTGTGCGTGTTTGCAACAGGCCATGGCGTGATTAAGTTCCATTTTCTTTGCTTCGAAATCGATAAAGGAAAGGAATTGATGTCGTGAGCTCGCTTCATACATTAGTTTAATTCTGTGCTGACCGGCTGTGTGCGTGTGTGGTTGTTTGTGGTTGTATGTTTGTGTGTGTGTGTGTGATTGTGTGGGTGCGGTTGCGTATGTGTGGTTGTACGTGCGTGTGCGCGTGTAAATTGTGCATGTATGTGATAAGGACAATGTGAATTTTATCTACCTATGTACATTAATGCATCCCTACGTACATATAAGCACGCAAGAATCAACATTTGCACGTGTTCATAAATGCACGTGATGCTAGCTACATGGTACTTAAATGAACTATTTTTTATGCATGAATGTGTACATGGAGTTTTGCAAACATAAGTACCGTCACACGTTGCCTTCACTGATGTACACTGATGTACGTGAATACGTACATGTTATTATTAAACACAGGGACGGTATTACACATGTGTGTATTTTTTAGGAAAATACAAACGTGAATATGCATCTTTATAATATTTGTACGGGTATGTATATGTATGCATGTATGTATGCATGTATGTATGT